GAGAGAGAGAGGGAGGCAGTGTGGGCTAGTGGTGAGAGCTGAGACACTGGGAGAGAGAGAGAGAGAGGCAGTGTGGGCTAGTGGTGAGAGCTGAGACACCGGGAGAGAGAGAGAGAGGGAGGCAGTGTGGGCTAGTGGTGAGAGCTGAGACACCGGGAGAGAGAGAGAGAGGGAGGCAGTGTGGGCTAGTGGTGAGAGCTGAGGCACTGAGAGAGAAAGTGTGGGACCCTTCCGAATTCACCAGCTGAGCTCATTGGAGTTCCCGCGCGCCGGGGGGCGACGCGCTCGCCCGCCGGCCAGCCCCGGGCGTGGCCACACTGACCACGCTGACCTCTCCCCTGCAGCACATCGCGGCGCTGTACCCCGGGGATCACGACCGCCTGCGCCGCATGTCGCTGATCGAGGAGGGGGACGTCAAGAGGGTCAACATGGCCCACCTGTGCATCGTGGGGTCGCACGCCGTCAACGGCGTGGCGCGCATCCACTCCGACATCCTCAAGGCCACCGTGTGCGTACACCTCCGGCCAAAATATTAGGAACCCCCTCCGTCGCATAGCGGGCTAGGTCTCCGAGCGTAGCAGGAACGTCTGGGGGTGGGTGTGGGTGGGTCCTCCGCAGGACAGGACTCCAGGCTGGTGGCTGTGATCCCCGAGGGGCGGGCCGACTCCTCGGGACCCGCCCCCCCCAGCTAGCCCCTCCTCTTTTAACAGAGGATGTATGCTGATTGGACGAGAGTTTCCGACAGCACCGGCCAGCCTGCAAGCACCCTGCCACCATCCAGCAGGGGGCGCTGTGATCCAAGGCAGCTCTGGGCAACGGAAACTTCAGTCGCAGTCACAGTGTAGCGACACGTCCCGGGCTCGAACCCGTGCCCTCGGGCCTGGCGCTGTTTACTTTTTAATCGCCCGGTTACCCCTGGGGGGGGCGGCAAGTCTGGACCTGGGTGTGCTGTCTGTGTGGAGTTTGCATGTTCTCCACGGGCTTGCATGGGTTTCCTCCCAGGTGCGCCGGTCCAAAGACATGCTGATGGGTTAACTGGCCCCGATTTGAGTCTGTGTCAGTGTGTGTCCTGTGATGGACTGTCGTCCCACCCAGGGTGTACCCCAGTTTGTTAGGTGGGATAGACTCCGGCTCCCCTGCACCCCTCTACCGGATAAAGCAGTTAGGAAGCAGATGGATCTGTGAATATCCCCTGGAAAAACGGGAACAAGGGCAGGAGTCTGTCTCAGGGCACGGTCCTAGACCTTGGGAAATAGCCATTCGGCTTCCTGTTAATAAAGCGCTTTCCTTCTCACAGATTCAAAGATTTCTACGAGGTCGACCCCAAAAAGTTCCAGAACAAGACCAA